AAAACTTGTCTAAATTATTTAATGAAACATGTCTTAGTGAAAACATGCTGCCAAAATGTACGCAACACACACACACACACACACACACACACACACAATACACATATATATATATATATATATATATATATATATATATATTAAAAGTGCTCAATTTCAAGTAAGAAAAATCAAACCGCTGTAGTGTTCCGGTCAACGTTTTAACTTTATATATATATATATATATATATATATATATATATATTTGAATTTGTAGATCTGATGAATTGGATCGTGATTACGATTCAATGTGATAAATTATAACCATGTAATAATAGTGTTTGAGCCTTTTATATTATATCATATTATATATATATATATATATATATATATATATATATATATATATATATATATATATCTAAATCGTATATGCCTATCAAGAAGACACGCGTTGCAGCAATCTGATCATAGCTAAATTAGGCTTCATTTAGACACAGACAGAAACCTACTAAACTCCATTCGAAACACACTTGTATAAGATACAACTATAATAGCCTCAGCCACATGTAAAAAAAAAATAACATTAACTTTGAACACCGCCTCAATGTGCTGACTGCATTTGGAAAATAAAAAAGAATCAGCCCCATATACATATATAAAAATTCACATATTCAGTTTAAAATAAAATATAAAACCTCCTTAGTAATAGCGCTGGAATATATAGAACATTCGTACAATTATTACGCACTTTATATCCAGCAAAGAAAGCACTTATACGGACACAAGAAAGAATTAATATTCTTATAGTCGTATTTTGCTTGTTTCTAATATCCTAATCGATTATATGTCATTATGTGCTACGTTCCCATATGTCTCAAGTTAACTTAAGAGAAAGTGTGGTGGTAGCGTTTCCAATATAAGAATTTACTGCTGATTTTTTTGTTGTTGGAAGTTCAATATCCAAATGTCACGGGAATTCATAAACAAGTATTTATTATAAATGATAAATATTTAGTATTTCTTACAATCATTAAATAACAGGTATCGGTAAAGTACATTTTAATAAATCTTTCGTTAGTCATTGTATAAATGTTAATATAATCAACATAAAAAGGTGTCTGTGTTATGCAGGATAGAGGAATAGTTACTTAGAATTGACGGGAGATGAGGTAACGGAAAATGTGTATAAATATTTTATATTTGTATGTATACTTTATTTGACATATCTATCTTTCTCTCTCTCTCTCTCTCTCTCTCTCTCTCCCTATGTTTGTATATATACAATTATATACAAGTATATAATTGGTATATACGGAATGAAATCCAATAACCAACAAAATCATCACTTGATAAGACACCGAGGGTGTTGAAACAAAATGGCTATTTTTGTAATGATTTTATAATATATTTATGTTATAATTTTTTTTAAAAAATAATTATATATATATATATATATATATATATATATATATATATATATATATAGGCATTTGTAGGTCTGATGAATTGGATCGTGATTATGATTCTATGTAATAAATTATAACCATGGAATATTAGTGTTTGAGCCTTATATATATATATATATATATATATATATATATATATATATATATATTATCGCACAAACTTTCATAACTGAATCAATAAGCTGTCCGATCCTCATACGTCGAAACCGACAGGAGAGTCCATTATTATATATATATATATATATATATATATATATAATCCGACATTTTGTTATTACTTTATTCTTTAATAATAATATTTTACGTTTCAGCTACAAAACTGAACAGTTATGATTTTCGAGAAAATCTGAACAAGTAAAATGTACTTTAAAGCTAAATAGAACCTTACATGATTGCGAAGCTCTTCGTGGCCAAGTGGTCAAAGCACGTCGGATCAAACGGCATTTTCGTATGTTTGGTCAAAATTCAGTCCTTGCCCACCTCGTTTCTCATCTGCCTAAAATATTAACATTTAACGTATTCATTTCCTGCTGTATATTCTCTAACTGGCCACAATGATTTAGTGTTCTGGCATTTCATGTCTCTAGAACTACTTTTTGTTAGATGCAAACAGTCGCTGGATGACGGCCCGGTAACACCTCTTGCTCATGTCTTCCCTTGTTGGGCGAGGGATCAATTCCGACTCCCTTTACGCTGTTATTCTTTATAGTTTCACTAACAGTCGCTGGATAACGGCCAGGTGACACTTGTTGCACATTTCACCGTCCCAACACCATTATCGCGTTAATTTTTTTTTTTTTTTTTTTTAAGGCGTGAAGCCACTAGGATGCAGGGGGTTGCAGATTTTGAGCGAGAGCAGATAGGAGTGATAGAGGAAAGGATGAGGAGAAGGATAGTGGATATATCAAGGTAACTGAAGATGTCGATTGACATTACATTTGAATAGTTGGAGATTAAAGTTATCAGGGGAACAGGAATAGGGAAGGGTGTTCCACAGGCGAGAGGTGCGAGGTATGAAGCTATTGGGGTAGAAGAGACGGCTACATTTAAAAGTTTCTACAGTGAAAGGGTGAGAGCGGGATGCCAGCCTCGTAGGGCGCTTGAATTCATGAAGTCTGGGAACCAGTGAAAGTAGCTCATCGGAGCAATTACCATGAAAGTATTTGTAAAAAAGACAGAGAGAGGCGACGGCGCCTCTGTGAGAGAGCAACGGCAGACGAGATGCCAGATCAGGGCCAATTATATTACATCCAATAGACATAACCCCATTCACGTTGCTCTCGTTTATAATAATATTGTCAAGAGTCATGAATATTCTTGAGATTGATAGTTTGAGTGATTTCCCGTTACATTTTCCACAGTGATTTTATTGAGACACTACTTCTATTTTACTGGCCGTTGATTCGTCAAGAGTTCTTCCACCCTTTGATCGGTTTTATTTTACATAATACACGGTTTCTAACATAACAACCCGCCTCACTCGCAATAAATTGGAATGGAGTTTGTCTGTTTAGTCGCCGACCATCCGACAATCATATATATATATATATATATATATATATATATATATATATATATATATATATAAATTATACACAAACACACACACACACACACACACACACATATATATATATATATATATATATATATATATATATAAGTTACAAATTAATTAAAGGTATAAATATCTTTTTTTAATTCAAAGCAAATTCTTTCCTTGACTTTCTCGAGTTAATAGAGAGGAAAACACTCTAACCTTTCAATGCTGAAAACTCTTCGAAATAAATTGCTCTAGTAATGGCAGTTATTCTTGACGATATGCTTTATCTTTAAGAAAAGACAAACCCACAAATATAATAACTGAGATTTATGATAAAAAGATATAGAAATAAGATGAAAGAAAGATTACTTAAAATATTAATAATTTAATAATAATAATAATAATAATAATTTAAAACTATGCATGGTTTAAAATAATAATAATAATAGTAATAATGATTATTATTATTATTATTATCATCAATATTATTATTATTATTATTATTATAACGATATATAGTATGTGAAGCACCCAATAAAGAGCAAATTAATTGTGCCACCAATCGTCTGTGAGTTAAGCTACTCATCATCATTTTATGATTTCTTCTAGATTTCATAATGGCTACCATTTTTAAGCCCGCATGATGCTATTATTCAAAATCTCCATCAAGTATTCCATTATGAATTTTTCTTTTTGCCACTCAGCAGGACATGCACATTATATATTTACCGTAAAAACGCTAGAGTTCACGAGTTCATTACGAAAAAGAAAACAAAAAAAAAACCAAAACAATCATGTATTAATAATTTTATTTACTTTGAGCTTTAAACTTCATATAGTCAATTTTCAGTTGTTTGTCGAAATACAATTCACAAAGAAATGAATGCATTGTGGAAAGTGAATCGACGTCTCCTGGGGGTCAGGAGTGTCGGTTATAAGAATAGAAATCTAGAACAAGCTTGCGTGCTTGGTGGTGTTTTAAAAGCAGGGAAATGCAGATGAAATGACTGTAAGGAACTTCCGGTAGAGCTAAGTTAAAAGTTTAAAAAAAAAAAAAAAAGAAAAATGAAAAAAAGGAAGGAATGTAAATGTTTTGGGGCTATTGTCAGGCATTTAAAAATGTGATCGTCTTCATCATAAGTCGGGTGACCTGACATAACAATCGGAATTTGATTTCATTTTGACAGGATGTTTATCTTTTAAGTTTTATTTTATTTTATTTAGAAAGAGGTCTATGATTCTTCGCTTCCGCTAATGTAAGGAACGTTCCCACTTGGAATCCTATCTAAAAAAGCAACAACAGCAAAACAACGGTAGAAAAAAAAGAAAGCGAATAAATGAGTTTGTACGAATGAGCAAGAAAGAAAAAAAGGAAAGAAAGAAAAAGATTCCATTCTTGCAAACATATATTTGTCAGCAATAAGTCTGAAAAATTACTGTCACGTGAGTTACCGAGACCAATCAGAGTGCAGATATTTATTCTACGGTCACACAGACACACGGAAAGACAGAAAGAACTTGATTGTGATAAATTAGTAATTCACTCAGAGGGAAATATTTCGTCTTCATGCCGTGTGATCTGGAAGGTTATTTGTGGATGTGTAGGATCGAGGGACCTGGGTAGTGGGGCCTAAGAGCGATGTGCAGGGAATATGAGGATGTCGGGATGGGGGGGGGTTCTTACTCAGTATAAAGGCGGCACTATTCACGCACACAACTTGTTCATGCTTGATTATGCCAAAGAAATCTCACTTGGGCCTGTTTAACACATGTTGAGTAGATAAAAGACATATATATATATATATATATATATATATATATTTGGAGTGTATTACATTTCTTCACACACACACACACATACATATATGTGTGTGTGTGTGTGTGCGTGTGTGTGTGTACGTGCTATGTGCGCATGTGTGTGATGTGAGGAATTTGAATATATGTAAATAATTTCAGCATATGTATACAAGTTCTTTTATATGTTTTAAAATAGTTTGTATTCAATTTCTTTATACGTGCATGTATTGGTGGCGTGTGGGGTGTATATAGATAGATAGATAGATAGATAGATAGATAGATAGATAGATAGATAGATAGATTTGAAATAAACTGAGTGAGATAGATAGATACGAACAGATTGTGATAGATAGATACATGTATATGAATAGACAGACAGATAGATAGATAGATGTAATTATGATGCGAGTGGGTGCTGAAAAATTATCGGCTCGTCCAAGAAGATATATAAAAAAAACACGATGTTTGGTCATTTGGTAATATTTTGTGAAGGCATTGGAGTCGCGAACTTTGCAGCACCCTTCGAAGATGTGAATAGACTGAGATAGACAGATATATAAACACGTCTGAACAACTGGTATAGGAACTGAAGGGTTTATTTGTGGTAACGGAAGTCTGTGATACTAACGGGGCTATTTACCTAGGGTTGGGGACGTCGGGATATTCGTCGCATGTATGCACATACACACACATTTGGGTGTGTCGCTGAAGGGTCTTTGTGTAAAAACGAAACAAAAGTTGTATTTATGTGTGCAAGTGTCAGAGGAATAAATTACCCGTCAAATTTTTGGGCTCTCTCTCTCTCTCTCTCTCTCTCTGTCTATATATATATATATATATATATATATATATATATATATATATATATAAATAGTTTTATTACGGTTTTATAAATATAAAAATAATTATATTATATGATTATATATATACATATTTATAAATTATTATTATTATGTAGTTATTACCTACCAATTAAGGCAGGTCGTGGTGTGTTGTTATAGCCACATTTCATGTTAATTTTTTTTTTTTTTTTTTTTTTTTTATCTCCGATGAACGTTACATAGACAAAGTTCTCCTTAGTGTGTTTTGTAAATATAAAAATTTTATGTCTCTTAAGCTGGGGTTTCAGGGAACAATGTGTTGTTTTGTTCCATTTTTTATTATACTGGTATTATTCTTTGATTTTTATTTCCAGGTCTTTTGTATTTTGATAGTTTTCAAAATTTATATTTACAATCCGCTGGACAAGCCATATCAATTAGTAGGCAAGTTTTTTTCTTTCTGGTTTTTGACAATAATGTCCGGCCTATTTGCTTCAATTTTTCTGTCTGTTGGATGGTATAATTAGAATTATCTTCTATTAATAAGTGTTTATTATTTTCCAAAGTGTTTTATTGTATTATATCGTATTTTATATTATTTATATATATTAGATGGTCTATTGTTTCTTGGTATTTGTCACAGAACCTGCATTTTGGATCCACATTATTATGTATGATATTTGCCTGAAAATTCCTAGTGAAAAACTCTGGTCTTGCGCTGCAAGAATAAGCCTTAAAGATTAATATTAATTTATCAACATTGGGTTTATTTGCACGTTCTGGATATTGGCCATGTTAAAGGTTTGTCTTGCCAGCGTTGTTTCATCTGTTATCCTTGGCTTTCTTTTTTCAATCTTTTGCTGCAATAGTTGGTTCTTGCCTTAGTTTTTTGATTTCTTTTCAATCCTTGGCTTTCTTTTTTTATCTTAAAACACTAAATTAAAATTTAATTTTATTTTTTCTTTCTGTTTTCATGTTGTTTCACTAATTTTTATCATCCAGTCATTTGTTGTTTCCATGTAAGTTAAACAAGTTGTTGTCTTGTATGAAATGATCAGCCTTTGGATGATGCATCTAGAAAGAAGCTTTCTTGTTTTAGAATCCATTTGTCTGATGTCATTTAGAGTCCAGTTCAAGATGTTGAAACTATATTTGGACCACTGGGAATAAAGTTTTTAATACCAGTCGTACCCTTCTATAGTACTCTTTTAAGGTACTTATAAGCTTCTCCTTGTTCTAAATCTTTTATTGTAAACTAATAGAGGAAGTTTTGTTGTAGCGATCCTCGTAAACTGTAGCTTTAGCACATTTATCCAAATTGAATTTCATTCCAATTTCTTCACTGAAGCATTTTACATTTTTTGTCATTTTACAATTTTAAGTCATCCTTAAAATAGATGGTTTATTTTCTTTTGAGCTATTTTAACCGCATTCTGTCTTATTTGGCTGGTTAATGCTATAAGTGATATGCAAAATAATAAAAGAGACAAATATTCCAAAATTGAAATATTCCTCTATTGATGTTTATTTCGCCAGACTTATAGGTTCCATTTTTTATGATTGAGGTAAAGTGTAGTTTTCCATATACATTTGAAATTGATGATAACAAATTTAAAGACTTTAAGATCCAGGTTACACTATAACGATAATATCCAGGCAATACGAAGATTTTTTTTTAAGTTTTCTCAGGATCATCCTATTAATAAGTAATTTCTTTACATAAGCCTCGTTTTTTTGTTCAAGTGGTAGTATGTCATTTTTTCCAAGAAGAAAATGTCTGTTTTGTTAAAATAGATGTTAACAGTTTGTATGTTGTTGGAAGACATGTAATTGGTCTATAGTTTTTCGGAATATTTGTGTCACTATTTTTGGGTAGAAGAAAGGTAACTCCTTTGGTCATCCATGCAGGAATTTTTTTCGGTAACCATTTCTTGAAGTTCTTTGGCGAGTTTTTTGTGTGCTGTATTTAAATAATATAGCCAGAAGTTAGGAATTTTATCTATTCTGGAGATTTCCAGTTGTGTGCTTTTTTCAGTGCATTTAACATCTTCTTCTGTGATTCCGCCCATGTCTGTTCTGGTTTATTTTTCATTCGTTCTAACTCTTGCGCAACAATCTGCCTCTTCGTTGTGTTCTTTAGGGCAAGCCCATATTTTTCCCCAGAACTGTATAACTTCTTCCATTTTAGGGGGACTGTCACTTCAATTCTTTGTTTACCTATTTCCCTGTAAAAATTTCTTTGCATCGGTTTGAAAATCTTGTTCTGTCTATAGAATCTTGATCTTTTCTCGTAGCGTTAATCTTATTCTTTAGTTGTATTGTTTGCTTTATTTTTTTCTTTAGTTGATAGGACTTATTTTCATTATAAACTCTTTGCCTTTTCTAACATCCTAAAAAACTGATAATTCACTTCTAGGTGTTCAATTTCTTTTCTATTTTTTCTTTTTCAAGGTGGATCTTCATGTCTGTGAGACTGCCTTTTTTTACTTTGATGTTCAGTTTATTTGTTGCTGCTGTTGATGCATATATTGCTTCATTGTCTTCTTCATCCAGAATCAAAGCTGCATTATAGAGCTTAATAGTTTTGAGGTTATGCTTTGTTGGTTGTAATTTTGGGAGTTGTTCTCGTTCCTCCATTTGCAATATTCTGTATCTGACTTATATGGCTCATATTTCATCCTTGGCTTTTATATTAATCTTGTTTTCTGTGAAATAATTCTGTTCGATGAATTTTGAACTCGTTTTAGTGTCTTGTGACTGACTAAGATCATACCTTTCCAACATTTCTAAATTTTCAGCATTATCTTCACAGTGATTTGTGTGTATTTCGGTTTTCATTATGACCTGAGGCTTGTGTGATGTTATTACTTTTTCCCGATTCGGTTCCTTTTCATGTTTTGTTGGTTCATCTATTCTTGTTGCAATTTTTTTTATTTCATTAATTTCAGCCTCTGTCAATCGGTTATGATGTCCCTTCTTACATTGGCTAGTTTATTTTTTGTCTATGTACTTTCTAATTGTTTGCCCAACCTTCTCGCCAAATGTCATATGTTTGCGAGTGATGAGGTTTTCATAACAACTTTGTATAGACCATTTTATAAATTTACGGTTATGGATCTAGCTGGAGAATTTACAGGACCATCATTAGGGTTATCCTGGTTGTGGGGACCTGAAGATTCATTCTTTGTGTAGGAGTTTGTTCCTATGGCAGATTTTCGACCTCAGGTAGGTTCCTCCTGAAGGACGGGCTCCCTGTTTATCCACTGGAAGAGCCATACTGGACGTTTTGTTTCTATTTTTTAATTTTCATATTAATCCCACGAGTGACGCACGGGTCAAAAAAGTCCACCCAAAGTTGCCCGGCACGTTGAGTAACGGTCTTTTTTACAGACAAGGGGATCGTTCGCGACCTCATAACGCAGTAGCCATTCCTCCTCGGCACGATTAACACCTTGAGTTGCGGGTTGTTGTTCGAGTTTTCCTTCTCCTAAATGGGTTGCCAAGCAACAATAGACAGAACACGATTGGAAATCAAAGAGAATGACGCTGGTTAAAAAAAAAAAAAAAAAAAAAAAAAAAAGTTTACATTCGTTTGAGAAATTTAAAAATAATTTATTGGCCCATCTGTAAATTCCACGATATTCCTTCTTAGAAAGATCGCATTTTCTTTTCATAAATTCATAAAATGTAATATGTAAATGTAAATTCCGTTATTTTTTAAAGTCGTTGAAAATAGCGTTGTTTTAAAAAAAAAAAAAAAAAGTTTACATTCGTTTGTCTTTGCTGTGAAATTTAAAAATAATTTATTGGCCCATCTGTAAATTCCACGATATTCCTTCTTAGAAAGATTGCTTTTTCTTTTCATAAATTCATAAAATGTAATATGTAAATGTAAATTCCGTTATTTTTTAAAGTCGTTGAAAATAGCGTTGTTTTAAAAAAAAAAAAAAAAAAAAAAAAATGCAATCCTTCTAAGAAAGAACATCGTAGAAATTGTATTATTTTTACCTGTAATGTTTTTTTGCAGGGGTGGATATTGAAAACTAAGGGATATGTGAATGAGAAAAATTAAATAATTGATTAATCTATCAGTATTATTTAAAGGAGAACCAAATAAATTAAATAATAATAATACGAAGAAAAATTCATGCTTACGCTAAAATAGTAAAAATAACAAAATTTCATATGCGTTAAAAAAAAAAAAAAAAAAAAAAAAAACTTGGAAGAAACAGCCGCTCAACGAAACAAAACATCACTACACTAGAGAATTTATATTAAATTTTTTTTTTTTTTCGCCATCACTAGTCCTAGTAACAAAATAATTGTCATAAAAAAAAAATTAAAAGTTTACATTCGTTTATCTTTGCTGTGAAATTTAAGAATAATTTATTGGCCCATCTGTAAATCCCGTTATTTTTCAAAGTCGTTGAAAATAGCGCTATTGAAAAAAATACGCAATCCTTCTAAGAAAGAATATCGTAGAAATTGTATTGTTTTTACCTGTCATGTTTTTTGTTTTTTTGGGGGGATATTGAAAACTGAGGGATATATGAATAAGAAAAATTAAATAATTGATTAATCTATCAGTATCATTTAAAGGAGAAACAAATAAATTAAATAATAATAATACGAAGGAAAATTCATGCTTACGTTAAAATAGTAAAAATAACAAAATTTCATATGCGTAAAAAAAAACGTTACGTTTGGAAGAGCTTCTTAAAACACGTCATTCTCGTTGTAATCCCAACCGCGTCATCATTATTATTATTATTATTATTATAATTATTATTATTATTATTATTATTATATATATATATATATATATATATAGTATATATATATATGGTTATAGCTTGTAAAGGAAATTAATACAATTTATGTCTAGTTAAAAAAATTGGTTATCTTAAAACACTTTAATAATTTTAGCTTATGAAACAAGAGAAATGAATTGACTGTTACATGTAAGCATAAAAATAAATATCTGTTTAAAAAGGTTGTTTCTGATTATTTTTTTAATCTTTAATTCTTAATGTAAATTACAGTTTATTTTTAATGCAAAGTACTATTTATTAATTTGAAAACAAATTTAAGCTTTTTGTTTAAATAAGAACAAGTAATCTCCCTTTTATTTAACATTTTTTGAAAATTTTTCAAAAAATTAAAATATGAATATTCACCACTAAAATATAATTTTTAATTTCCTTTTTACACACACACACACACACACACACACACACACACACACACATATGTATATAAATTCCGCTTATTTTAATTACCAAATATAATTATAAATTTTAAAATTAAAAAACTGTAATATATAACTACGCCAACATTGAGATAACAAGATATATTATAATTCAAACTGAGTAACGGTCAGTTCATATTCAGTACCCGATATAATGTTGCATAAAACTCATAGTCATATTGCGAAAACTCTAATCATTCATGCATATATATATATATATATATATATATATATATATATATATATATATATATATATATATATATATATATATATATATATATATATATATAAAGTCAGTGGTTAGATCGTTCGCTTTCTGCCATGAGACCCGGGTTCGAATCTCACCATCGTCGATTTGTTAGGAAGGAGTCTGGAGGTGTGTGGGAAGTGCCTGAAAACCATACCATGGGTTGACGCAAAGCCTTGTGAGTGAAATTGGACGAAATGAAGTCACAAGTCATTGTTTTCGTGTGCTCTCCTTGTTCAGATTGTTGATCGCGCTGGATAACACGCTCTCTATAACTAACACGAAACTATAACTAAGGTCTGCTCAGCATAGTTGCAATATAAAGCAGAGGTGTGGATGTAGAAAAAACACAAATGCGCCTGAGCGGGTGTCTGCAATACAAGTGGCCAGCTATTATATATCTATATATTTATTTATGTGTTTCCCAGATACAGCTTAAACGATACATAATGCCCCTACGAATTTAGAAGCAATTTGTATCTTGAACCACCACCGAGTAACTCAAGAACTCCTTGTCTAATTTAGGGCCATTTTTTCTGTTTTTACGGCATTTTAAATAGGAAATGCAGTATTTGTTTTCAATACACATTCTTATATCAATACGCGTATATAAACAAACACTAAATCATATATTCCCAATATTATGTGTTCGAAAAATAATAAAGATGTATAATACATTAACAACATTATTAAATAAATTTAAATTTACATAACATATATTTATACAATTCACTACACTACATTCGAACATTTTTTATAAACAAGTATCTCGGACGCTTGGCAAGTCCTTGATAGGTGAAGACGCTATGTAGGTGTGCTTGTAAAACGTAATCTCTATGGCTGGATACTTGTGTCACGTGATTTAATGACACATAAATAAATAAATAAATGCACGCAAGTTTTCAGCCGTTATGTATTTTTAAATGTGAGGAAGAAAAAGTCTGTATAATAAAAAATATAATTATTATTAATTTCTTAATGCATTTTATCTAAGTAACTTTGTATAATGTGAGTAATAATGATTGTTACCATTTGTATTTCAAATACGAATTAAAATATGTGTAATAATGAACTTCTTTTAAAAGGAATCCAACAAATAGTATATATATATATATATATATATATATATATATATATATATTTTTAATTTTAGTTAAAAATTTTTTTATCCTTCAGGGCACCATAAATTAGTATAGGAAATCTGAGCGTCTTTTTGCATTGAAAACACATTGACTTGGAAATTCTTGAGAAAATCAAATAATTGTCAAATTTTAATTAAACTTTCAGGACTTATTCACAAATGAATGAAATTATTTTGGAAACGTTTCTTTTTTAGAAAATCTTGGTAAAAATGAATTTTTCTTACATCTGCTACCCCCCCACATCGCACAAACACACACACACACACGCACAAACACACACACACACACGCGCACAAACACACACAAACAGCACACACACACACTTATTTCATTTTATGAAATTTCAAGTTTAATGTTTATATTAGTTATAAAAACATGTCGTTGGAGAATTTAAATCATCAAATTTATTTTGTCAAATAGGACACTCAGTTACAGAAAATCAGCTCTGAATCGTAAAATTAAAACAATGCAATAAAACTAAGACAATTGCTTTTATGAAGAAATATATTATAGACATTACTGTCTTAAGAAAAAAAAATTTTCGCTGAATAATGAATTTTTACAAGAATTGTTTTCATTTTTTAAAAATGTTAACTATAATAATTTATAAAGTTTAAAAGCTTTTAAAATTCTGTATTAATTTATACCAGTTAGGTGATATTAATTAAAAACTCTAAATAAATGTAAAAAGGTTACTACATCCCTCCCTCATATATATATACATATATATATATATATATATATATATATATATATATATATATATATAAATTACAAATGACACGCAGTTCAGCGCCGAGCGGCAATAATCTACTTCGTACGCAATCTTCAGACCATGAATATTGAGTTCAAGCATGAAATAATCCGTAGCATACTTGGTGTTGACGTCAGCGTTAACTTTTACATTTACATACACTCTATCCATGATATTGAGAAGTTGTACCCATAAATATACTAAACCTTAAAACTATATTTTTAGCATATATATATATATATATATATATATATATATATATATATATATATATATATATATATATGTATTAGGGTATACGTGAAATAATTACGTATTTCATTGCTATTATGAGTCAACTGAACAAGGAGCAACCAAGATTAAAAGGAACAAATGTTTTGAATTAGTTTATCATCTCTTCTATCCAACAGAGTATCACAAAACTTCATAGGGAAAGTTTTCAAAGAGGGTCATTTTGACTGTTAAACTTTCGCTTGAAAACTGAGTCCAGCGTTCCCCCATTTGCAGCGCTCTTTTTCGCAGGAATACCAAAATTTCATTTTTGCGTCGCATTCTTACGGGTGCTGAAAAATAGGTTTTGCATATCAACAGAAAACGAAAAGGATATTGATTATTACCAAATGAGAAACCATTGTCAACACCAAAAAACGAGGACTCAATCAACAGAATCCCTAGCTTTGTGACAAGTGGAATATGAAAATGTGGTTCCCATTACGAGCTTCTGGAAAATGCACGGACAATCAAACATTTGTTGCCAGTTAAACGAAGCATTACATTGCAAGTGACCTGTTTTGGAAAACAGAAAAGGCGTTTTTCTTCAGCATGACAATGATATACTGTGTAAAACAAACCAAGGTAAAAATCAGATCGTTAGGATCGCAGGTTCTTCCACGTCGTTTATATTCACCACATTGAGTATCTACAGATTTTCATTTGTTTTCATCACTAGAACATTTCATAAATGGCGGAATATTCAGAAACAAAGAAGTAGAAAAAAATCTAGGAAAGCCTCAAATTTTTTAAAACACCAAACTGAAATTGAGCCTTTATAATGCAATCTGGGAAATTTAATTGTAAAAAACTGTAAGGAGGGAATTTGGGTTTCTCAAGAGCTTTTGCTTGAGAATGGAACACAACATTCCACCACCACCGTCATCATCATCAACAGCAGTCTTTTAAATGGGAATACCAAATTTTAATTTTTGAATCACATCGTCTCAGAGGATGAAAAATGAGTTTTGCATGTCAACAGAAAATGAAAAAAGACATTGGTTATCACAAAATGTGAAATCATTCTCAGCAGCATAAACAGGACTCAATCCATGGAAGTTCTTGCCTTGTGCCTGATGAAATAGGAAATGTGTCGTCCATTATAAGCTACTGAAATATTAAAGGATCATCACTGCAAATATTTATGGCCTTGCAACTTGATTGAGTAAACAAAGTATTACATTGATAGAATCCTGATTTGGTAAATAAATAAGGCGTAAGAATAGAATCATATGATTGTTAGGATTGGTGGATCTTCCAAATTCTTCATACTCACCACATTTCACATCTAGCGATATTCATTTGTTTCCTTCACTAGAACATTTCATAAATGGCGGAACTAAAAGAAAGAAAGAAAGAAAGAAAGAAAGAAAGAAAGAAGCTGAAAAAAGTCTTATAAATATTTGGGGAGGGAAACCATAATTTTTTTTAGATGTGGAATCAAAACTTTTTTTCTTTGGGCTCGAAATGTTTAAAAGGTAATTACATTTTTGATAAATAATAAAGAAGTTTGATATACACTTGTTTTATATCCCCTCTGGTAAAACGTAATTATCTTCCGAACAACATAATGTGTATGTGTGTATGTGTGTGTGTGGGGGGAGGTTATGTTTTTGTGTCTGCACGCCTTCTTAAGACAAAAGAGAGATGTAGAAAGACAAAGAGCTTGTGCAGCAAGGTGATTGAATTAGTTGTTGTTTTTTATCATTTCACCCCAAGCAAGGTAATAAAGGCACTAAAATGCAAGGGGTTAGAGTGTGTAAAAGAATATGATAAAAAAAAATATATATGATTAAGGACACAGAACAATAAAAGAACAGGAATTAAGAAGATAGAAGATAACAAATGCATTGTCATGACATTGCATTTAAATATTTAAAGTTGACTGGGAAGCAAGAAGAGATCTCCATAAGCGAGAAGTACGAGAGACGAAACTTACGATTACATTTAGCCATTTCAATTATAAAATGAGGAGACATGGCCGCCAATCTAGCATTGTGTTTAAATTCATAAAGACTAGGTACCAAAGGGGAAAGTCCATCAGAAAAATTACCATAAAAATATTTATAGAAAAGGCATAGGGAATCTATGTTACGTCGGTGGGAAAGTGACTGAAGCCGAAATGCTAGGATTTTATCAAGAATAGCAGGAGCACCAGGCCAGATGTGGCAGTAATATTCAAAGCAAGGACGAATGTTAGACTCTCTTTCTCTCTCTTTTTCTGTACATGTGTGTGTGGGTATGTGTGTACACGCGCGAAATGTTTTTTCTACAGTGCATACGCAAAGACAGATCTATGCAAATTGTATAGAGGACATAGTGATGTTTATATTAGAACAGCGAACCGAATGTCGCACGAACTTTTTTTCACTGGTCTTTATGGTCGGCATCATTTCTAAGGAGACAATAGAAAGTAGTTGTATGGGTAAGTATTTCTTTTACGGTCGAATTCCTCGAACTCATACTAAGAATGTGCGCATTATCTATAGATAGGTCCACCGACTCTTTGATAGCAGTGTTCTTCTGCTTTAGCCTAAAATAATAAAATTAAGTCAATTTTTTTTATATTGACATAAAACCAAGTTTCTACTCCAGGATCCCTCAATGAGAATCGAACTCACGACCAAAGGTAATACTCCGAGAGACTACTTTATTAACTATTGGTTTGCACTATTTACTTTGCATTATCTGGCGCAAGAGTGGCATCCAATGAGGAAGAAATGACATGGTATGCTTGGTAACTACAGTAATACAATCATGGATGTGCGTGTGAATGGATATGTATAAATATATGTATTCAGGGTGGGGGGGGAGAGAGAGATGTCTATGTATACAAGTGTTTTAATGTGTATGTTTATAAATGCAGGCTATTTGTATTATGGGAGTTGTGTCTATTTGTTGGGAAGTATGTGTAACTAACTAATGTGTAACTAAAGTTTAATTTAGTTTGGTAAAAATACATGGGTGACAGGTCAGTGCACTATTCTTTATCTTCTATGGTATATGGGATCAGAAGAGCTACCAGAGTTCCCCTGCTAACGTTACGACATCTTGAAAAACACCTCACCTAGGCTGTTGACAATAGTTTGAAGACACTGACACTACATCAATCTCTCATCTTTCTACATCCTCCCACATATATATAGATGAATATGATATATAAATTATTATATATCAGAACACTGTTATGCAAATTAATGATAAAGTTGAAAATCTGGTTAGAATACATACCCAGACATATTTTTAAAAATTATTTAAATATTTTAAAATTCCAACATTTTCAACGTATCCTATCTGTGCAGAAATTGCTTGATTTTTACATTCCTCCTCCCCTTCCTGCACTTATAAGGTCATCCCATAAGTTCTGTCCGAATTATAACTTTTTTTTAAAATGAACGAAATTTAAAGAGTATTTTATAATGTCTAATGGAGCTGAACATTATTTTTATGTTTAGATGCATTTAAACTGATTAAATTTTATTTCAGAGAACAATAAAATTAAATTTGGTTTGATTAAAACCCTGCTAACATGGAAGTACCCAAGAATCATTTGAGTCACATAATGCTTTATGAGTTCAAGAAAGGAAATTCAGCAGCCGAAGCGGCTAGAAACATTCACTCAGTTTATGGAGAGGAATGTGTGAATGAAAGAACTTGCAGAAGATGGTTTGCAAAATTCAGAGGTGGAGATTTCACCCTTAAAGATGAAGATCGAACCGGACGTCCAGTTGAGTTTCATGAAAAGCTTCTTGAAGCAGCCCTTGAAGAAAGTCCTGTTTTATCAGTTGAGGAATTGGCAGTGGTTCTCAGTTCAAACCATAGAACTGTTCATTGTCATCTTCAACAACTTGGAAAAGTTCCTAAACTTGGAAAATGGGTGCCTCGTGAATTGTCTGAAAACAACCTCAAATCCCGTGTTGACATCTGCTCTTCTCTCCATTCTCGCCAACTCGTTTCGCCTTTTTGGATAGACTTGTGACTGACGACGAAAAATGGATCTTTTATCGAAATGTTAAGTGTCGTGGACAGTGGCTTGGTAAAGGAGAAGGACCCCAGCCGAGAAGAGAACTTCATGGGCAAAAGGTTCTTCTTTCAATCTGGTGGGATCGCCAAGGAATAATCCACTTTGAATTCTTACCACCTAATGCAACAATTAATGCTCAAATATACTGTCAGCAATTAGAGCGTTTGAACCAAGCTTTGAGGCAAAAAAGACCTGTTCTAGTGAATCGAAAAGCGGTGATGTTTCATCAGGACAATGCGTGACATTTGGTCACTTGTTTTCTTTATTCAAAATTCGGACAGAACTTATGGGATGACCTGATACATAATTCCATCATCAAATTCATTACTTTAGTACGATGAGATTCTTCCCGGCGAGGAAACACGTTACAGAGAATTTTTTCCACTATGTCATTAACTTGCCTTAATGTATTTTAAACAGGAATGTATAGACTCAAACTCGTGTATCCACTAAATATTAAGTTTATAGTAATATATATATATATATATATATATATATATATATATATATATATATATATATAAAATATACATGGCTACAAAGATGTTAAAAACGTGAGTGTGTGGTTTGCTTGTGTGTGGTTTGCTTGTGCGTGTATGTGGTATATATGTGCGTCTTAAATGAAAACGTTAATATTTGGGCGTTACGTATTTATATATGCAAGTGTATGTCTATATAGCTTTGTCTTGCATAAGGCCACATTAACGCGATGCACCCACAGAGAATCGATCTCACTACCAAAAATTTGTTAGAACAGCCTACTAATCAACTATACGGTAGGCGCGTGTGCAATTGCATGCCTGAGTATAAGGTTGTAGATACATGTATTTATGCATGTGCGTGTTTGTGTGTGTACGTTTGTGTGTGTTTGCGTGTGTGTTTGTGCTTTTGTGTGTGTGTGTGTTACAGAAACACTGCTACTGATGAAATGAATTCTGTTCATCTAGCGATATCTGAGTAGCGCCGTGCCCCAAACTCAGTCTATTAGAAAACTGGAAACGAAAGACTGGCTTTGCAGACTAGGAATATATCCAAAGAATAATTTGAAGTCTGTATCAAGAGATTAACATTGGTACTTTTCCAATGCCGCCGGCTGCATAATTACGGCCTTTTACGTTTATCCGAATTTTTCAAGAAATCCTTCAGCTCGGAAAAAAAAACTAGCAATACTGCAACGAAACACTAAATGCATTTTTACCTTATCAGAAACGATTCAAATGTATTGGCCAACCCATTTTTTTTCTCTGTCAGTTTATTTTTCACGTGTTTTGACCTTGGGGCTTTTTTTTAACTTGATTCTGCAAGGCAACTTAAATCAGCCAATGCGAAATAAAATTCTTACGATTTCCTCAAATACAACAGCTTTTTATCAACGCAAGGATATAGATACGTTTTCAAAACAGCAAATGACATCAACATAGAATGCGCGTGTGTGTGTGTGTGTGTGTGTGTGTGTGTGTGTGTGTGTGTGTGTGTGTGTGTGTGTGTGTGTGTGTGTGTGTCTCTTTTGGAGAAGGCTGATATGCTTAACTATATTCGTTGTGCAAGTGTCTTTATAGGCATCGTGTATATTTGGCTCAAATTTCATATTACATTCATCGTTATCGCACATAAGTAAGAAGATATCAAACCTTGTAATGTATTTCCCAAGATAAAAACTTAAACTCCTGCCAGTGGGTGACGTCTATTGAAACACAAATTCGTCATCGATCCATTTATTTAATCAATGGACAAGTATAAAACACGTCGCTGTCATATGTTGCAACTAAATTAGTAGCTAATCTTTCGTTCGCCATATTAAACTCTCTAGAAGAAAAATATATATGACAGTTTGGAAAATTTTTACATTAACATTTCTTTACATTGACCTTTTTAGCAGATGACTTGGCGTCATCTGAAAAAGAATTTATTTTACAAGAACAAAATTTATATTAGCGCGACAAGATGTGATTCACGTTAAGCATATAAAAACACGAATTTCACTTTAATTGTATTTTTATAGACTTTAGTTTTTGAACTAAGTTACACACACACACACACACATATATATATATATATATATATATATATATATATATATATATATATATATATTAATGGCAGCCAGTAGCATACCTTGAGATCATCCCAATGTCGCTGGAACTAGTTTTGTTTCTACCTTGCTGAACAAAATCTAAATCATCTTGAAACAAGTATAAAGTCTTGCAAATTGTGCAAGATCCGTGTTTGTCGTCAAGACTGACTCTAGTTTCACCACAGTATTCCTGAGCTACTAACAGCTTGCTCATGCGTTCTTCTTCACACACGAATCCGACCGTCTGTCTGAAAGAGCTGTTAACATGGTACTTGTCTTCCAGTGGCAATGCTCTCTTTTTAATCGAAGATTACAAAAGCCACACGGAATGCGTGTAGAATCCATTGAATTTGTAAGTAATTTGATGCAATGATATTATTTGTTTGATGGTTAGTTCTTCTCAGTCACCACCGTGCCTTTTTTCTGCATCAAATGTTGGCATCCGCAGTTTTCATATGTTGCTTATATCAGCCCGGAATTATTAAATATATATTTTTGTACGTGTTTCTCAAGAAATATCTCGTTGCCATCACGGATGTACAAGTAACCCACTCTTTTGACCACAATAATCATTTCTCGATCAAATATTGTTAAATTCTACTACCGTTTAATAACTGTCACAGCTTCTTGGCCTACTATATTATACATGTACTGCTATCCCTGTTGTTTATTGATATACTGGACTCTCCCGTCATTTTCGACGTATGAGGATCAAACAACTCAGTTCCTTTAAAACCGACAACCAGATCATTTGGTTATAGTGATGAAGGCTTGTGCAGAAACAACCACGCTTTTTGGAAGAGCCGAATACAGAGTACTGGTGCACAATATCCCAAAACACCCCTCCGCAGGTTTTGATCTATAGACCGGTTGCTACCCAAGACTATAGAACCCAGTCTGTCTTGCTATTTACCCATAGCTTAGGGGAGAAGAGGATTCATACCTTTCCCAAGTGAATGTAATGGATTCAACTGGAATTTAGATTCGGCTCTCCGTTTTCTCAATCCGAGACGCTATCCATTACTATCCATATATAGTGGCTGGCCACTCGTATCCGTATCTACTGGGTCGGGTAGCTAATCCCCGTTGCAGACGCCTGCTCAAGCACATTTGTGTTTGTTCTACACCCACAGCGGCTGTGGTTTATACTGAGCGGACCTTAGCGTGATAAACAGTCTGAACAAAGCCAACACGTTCAAGCCCTCGCTCACGATGACTTCGTGCCAAGGGTTGCCACCTACCCAGTTTCACTTACAAGGCTTGAGTCAACCCGTGGCATGAGTTTCAGACATTTTCCAAAGGTGCCGAACGCTGGGATCGCCTCCTCCAGATCGATAACATCAAGAAGTCACCTTGCTAACAAACAAATCGACCATGGTCAGATTCGAACCTTCTAACCACTCAGCCATGTGCCCATTAATATATATATATATATATATATATATATATATATATATATATATTTTAAATGACAAATTCAAAAATCGTTCATGCAAGTATAATGTTTCGAAACATTATATTTTCATGAACGTTTTTACAATTGTCATTTAATGTATAAATGTATAACTCTATCGGGATCATTTACCCAATTTATTAACACACACACACACACACACACACACACACATATATATATATATATAATAAATGTTAAAAAACAAATGACAAATGAAAAAGTCACTGCCCAAATACATCCACGATATATACATAAATATATACATATGCACCAATGATAAAATCGTGAAATATAAGCAGTCAGTTGCTGATATCCCTGAAGAGTTGACGGACGGGTCCATCTACAAAACTCTGCAATCGGAATGCTGAAAGTAACATCATTCATCAAAGTGACAAACTTATTTATATTAATTCTCTCTCTCTCTCTCTCTCTCTCTCTCTCTCTCTCTCTCTCTCATATATATATATATATATATATATATATATATATATATATATATATATATATATATCTAAAAGGTGTAAAAAGTTTTCGTGTTACGCGTTTCGATATTTAGGACTAAAGTGATGTTTACATTGATGCGACTACACATGCGCACGAACAAAAAGAATTTTAAATGTGAATAATATTTAGAAAAAAAAATATTTTAAATAATATAGTTTCGCCGATTTCATTTATTTTCTTTTTCATTTTTGCTATTAAATATCCCACATTGTTACAATAGATATGCCAAGAAATGTGAAATGTCAGAATTTGGACGTACATTTACTGTGGATGATCTCGCGATTAACGTACTTTCCAAACATTTTCGTCTTAGTAAATTGCTTTCTTTTTTAATTAGAGTAGCAATTTTTAAAATCAAAATTATGGTCAGTGAGCAACTAATGCATTTAGTGTGTTGTTTTGTAAAATATTTGGTGTTCATATAATCTTTTATTTAAATTCCTTGGGGTTTCTCCTATGTATTCCTTGTAGCAATTATTACAGGTGATAGAGTAAATTCCCCTTTCAAATTTTAGCTTATTGTTTTGTTTTGCATTAAGTCTTGTGCATGGCTATCAGCAAAATGATGAGCCCCAAAATGCAAATTACAGGTCGAGGATACTAAAATCAAGCAGATGCAAAAATTTAAACATTTAGGAAATGTTCCAAAAAAGAACGGAAAGTGCTACAGTGACACCCGAAGACGTATTGGGATGGCCAAAAGACGCATTCCAAAAGCTAAGCAGATTATTAAGAGACAGAAAATTTTCGTTGGAAAAGAGTGCTGACATGATAGCCGTATGGTAGTGAATGCTGGTCAATTTCCTCATAGATGAAGAAGACACTTGAAGCAAGAAAAATGTGGTTCTACAAGAAAGATGCTGAAGATAGCATGAGCTGGACATGTGAGCAGCAACAAGGTTTAGGAGAGAATGGAAAAAAGGAAAGATAATTAACATCAGGAAGAGGCAGTTAAAATTTCTGGGGCACGTAATGAGGAAGAAGCGCTTGGAAAATCTGATACTCACAAAACAGAGGAAAGCAGCGCGTAACATGCCTGATGGGTTTGAGCAAACGGATGGCAGAATAGAGTTTGGGAGCAATAACAAAAAAAAAATTAAGTATTACAAGGAACAGGAAGATGTGGAGGGTCATGGCGCCTACGTCCTGAAGGAACACGGCACGGAAAAGAAGAAATAATTAAGTCTTTTATCGTTTTTTAAGTAGTGGTAACAAATTTTATCTTGAGTTTAGATAAATTCATTTCAGTTGTAGTTGTAGAACAAGAGAAGTTCGAAAATAGAATATAATAGAAAAGTCTGCATAGCAGATAAACGGTAAAACCATCTAAAAATTAATAAGGGTGCATGTCATACAAAATCATTCGAAAAGGTCAAAAGTTGGACGACATTTTTATGGCATGTGACCCTCAAGCAAAAACAAAGGCGAAGGAAGAAATGCAGAAATTAATTAAAGCGAAAACAACGACGGTAAAAACTTCTTCGTTTACTGCAATTTTTTCTATTTTGCTAATTGATTGCCATAAATAAGTATGGAGACAATGGTGTCAATAGCTGCGTATTGCAAATATATCGGAGTTGAGACTGAAGGACAAAAAAAAAACTTAAAAAAAGAACAAAGGAAAATAGTCTGAAATTCAGGCGTCAAATTTTTTTTTTCTTTATTGCCATTTGTTTCATATTTCTCTAAGTTAAGATTACGACGACAAAGAAGAGCAATCACTTAGGCACGTTGCTTGCTGCTGAATCATCCTTGGTGTGCAGTTTAGACAAATGTCGTCTTTAGTTCGTATTTGGGCGTGATGGGCAATTTTTTAAAACTTAAATGGGTTGGTGGATTGGGCATAAATTTGGACGCCCATACCGACAGACAAAGAGAGTGTTATAATGATAGATAGATAGATAGATAGATAGATAGATAGATAGATAGATAGATAGATAGAAAACTTAGTTGAATATTTTCAATATATATCTTCTGACTGTATATAACTATCAACAGAGAGAACGAAAGATAGAGTATAAGATAAAGTGTATTAGAGAGAGAGAGAGAGAGAGAGAGAGAGAGTGGGGTACAACGACGCTTAGAGAATACGTGATAGAAAGACATTCTTTGCACGAAACCAGTGTCAAGAAGGTGGGGGAAAGAAAGGCAAAAGAAAAAAAAAAAGAAAAGAAATAACGAGTGCCAACTCCTCGATAGTGAAAGAATTCTTTTCTACTGACATCAACATTAATGAAGCTTATCAGGCAATTAATCATTTTCACTAATTTTTCCTATTATTGGCTCATCTCAGACAGCAAGCTTGGATAAGATCAAACCTTTGAGATCATTGGTTAGCGATCGATAGTCGACAATCTTTAAATGTATTGAGATATTTGAAGCTCAACTCGTTTTTCTAACTCCAGGTTCAAAGTAAAAAGATGAAAAAAAAACAGTCTAGACATTTTATATTTAAGTCTTAAATATGTTTATTACTAGTCAGGATAATGCTGGTAAAATTATTTTCTTACATTTCGCCAGGCTAGAGGAGTTCTTGCATTATGATAAAAAACATCCCATAATTTTTGGCACATCATTGTATGCATCACTTTCTTTTTCTTTCTTTTTCTTTTTTTAGTGTTTATTATTTTGCTTATAATTGTATATTTATATTTCATTCTGAAATTCACCGTAGACTAGAGTGTCAGGCAGAGGTGTTTAGGTGTTAGTCTACCACTAGTAACGCAACGAACTGGGTGTAAGAGATACTGTGGATTTTGGATATACGCTAAAACAAACACCTACATATATTCAAATTCAAACATTTCTCAGTAAATTATTCCGTATAAATGAAAACAGTTTGTAATACAATAAAAAAATGCAGTTCAATAGAAAATTTTTAAAAAGATCGTTTCGCTGGTCATCATGTTCAAGATGGATGCGTTCAACGAGTTCTTACTGTGTATGAGGTCGCTGGTTGGTCTCCCTCTTGATGATGTCCCAGACGTAGTGGTTTTGGTGATCTAAATCAGGAGAGATAAGGCTGGAGGCTACATAATCGTAAATATTATCGGCAGATAATTCTAAAGTACGAAGAACAGGTCTGCTGAAACACTCACAGCTACTTCCTTGATCCAGGCATTGACTACCATCTTCAACTTCTCTATGTAAACGTTGGCACAGACCATAAGGCTCTTCAGGAAAAAAGTAGTGGTGGGTACGTCATGACTTTCAATCCCAAAGATCATCACTGATGATGTAAACTTGGTGTGCAATATCATAGGTATCTTCATAGTGTCAGTGAAGAGTGTGACATCGTTCTTCCTGTTCATCTTGCCACTTACAAGAACATGATTTTCTCCAAGACACTGCGGTTGGTAGCCAACGACACGAGCAGGACAGAGCTTTTCATTTCCTGTATCACATTGGAAGCTGCCATGTAAATGTCCCCATAACGTCTGTAAGAGAAATAAGAATGTTAAAATTTGGCGCATGCCGCGTAACGTTACGCTAGATGATTTTCCATATATGATCCACTAAAGAGGCAGTATCATATATCGGTCTCATATATATATATATATATATATATAGCGAGAGAGAGAGGGGGGATCAAGAGAGAGCGAGTGAGAGAGGAAGAGAGAGATAAAGAGAGGTGGCAAGAGAGAGAGAGAGAGAGAACGAGAGAGAGAGGAAGGTAGAGAAAGAAACAGTTAACGTTTAAATTTGATTAATGTTCTTTCCTTTATTGATATTCTGTCGTTCTCCAGCGCAGTTCTCAGGTTGTTAATCTACGACCGTAAAGCAAGTAACATGGTTTGGAAACATAAGACTAAATCGACGATAAGACTTGAATCTCTCATTCTTTTAAGAACGGAAGATTCGAGTCTTATCGTCGACAGCAATTCATTAAACAAACAACAATGCCTTTACAAGCAGACATCTTTTTAAAAAAAAAAAATGCCATATAGTCATATTACTTGCTACCCACTTTGCCCCATTGACAACATGATATTATTGTTTTGTATTTACACTAGTAGTAGTATTAGATGGAATTGTTTTAAATTTTTTTGAACAAAACATTGTCCGCTTATTCTTGTCTTTTTTTTTTTCTTTCATCTTAGGTTTGTCACTCTGCACAAGAAAAGAAGAAAATATGTCTTATCTGAAGGAGAGTCTTTATAGTCTGTGAGTTCTAATCTCGCTGGTAGTTTATTAATTATTTCAGATCTCAGCCGCTTGCTTAATGCTTAATGCTTATAGATTAACGAACTGGGAATTAGTATGAAGAATAACAGGGCGTAACATTAGGATGAAGGAAATATTACTCAAAGAATTAAAAAAATGACATTGTTCCAGTTTAGAAATCCTAGTAATAGTTTTCTTTACAAGTAATCACTGGTTATTTCTAATTTCAACCTTGAAATATTTACAAATCAAGCTAGCTATTTGTCCTTAACTCTGTATATCAAATATCATAAGAAGTGTTGCTTTACTGTGGAAATTGATGCTCTTTCTTGTATACAGCTATACAGAAATAATTTTGAATATCTTTGAAATGATATCCACTGGGCTTAAAGTTTATGCCCAGGTGGTGTATTACAGAGACACACTAGGAGAAAAATATTAAAAACTCTTTATTTAAATTCTTTACATCCGGACTAATGTCATTATTTTTGCTGTTATTGTTATAACGTTTCGGCTGTTGTGACCTTTGACCCTCTTCAGGTTTATGAAAAACTGGACAATGCTAAATCAAGATGAGATATACTTAGATATAGACAGCAGAATGAGAACAATCTATCCCCGCCGATTAAATAATGGGTTCAGTTGGAAATTTCTTAAAGGTTACCCGGATCAACAAACACTTGGGCAAAGCCGGAAGTCACGTGATAATAACAACAAATGTAAATAACGAGAACTTCTCATTCCAGAAATTCAGACAAAAATTCACAATCTTTCTTCAACCGATTACAAGTACGTAGGTGAAAATTTCCAGGCTGCTCGGTTGTAAACAATATCTTCAATGTAAACAGGCGTAGGATTTCCTCATTGCTTTTCGATCAGCCCTGTTTCCAATTTAGTTTTCTTATTTTTGTCTAGAATGACTCATTGGTAAAAGGAATTTAATAACCTTTTCACATCTACAATAGTTTCATGGTGCGCAAATCACTGGCTTTCTTATTTACTCAGTGTATCATTCAGAAGTTATTTCACTTCGAGTTTCCAACTATCTACTTGAAGAATATTGCATCAGTCTTGAATTATAATGGAGGTGACTAGTGCAGCATTGTCATCATACACGTTTCTTCATAAACAGTCACTGAGCACCGATTGCAATCATAATGTTGCAATTGATTTTGCTAATATAGCAGAATTATATAAACGCACAGTTTTTTTTTAAACGTTTGCACATAGTCACTCATGCACAGAGTCACACACATACATTTATATGTGCACATACATACGCGCCTAAAGATACGCACGGGTAGATATTCATATGAAGTAACGATATATATTTTTATACATCAAAAATAGTATTGGGGGAAATTACATGACAAGGTAGTAAAAGTTTACTTATGACGCGTTTGGTATTTTGGTACAACAAATTTAGCCTGATGAAGTCGTGAAGGGCGTAACGATTCACAAGTAAACTTTTTCCACTTTGTCATCCAATTTCCATAAATGCATATAGAAAACGACACATTTTCAAGCGAACACAGGCATTAATTTACTGTACAGGCAGAAACACCCGTCTATATATATTTTTAAACAGATACTCTTCTCCGACCTCAAACATATTAACGAATAACTCATCATCTACACATTTACATATGAGGTAATGCGTAGAATTTATGAAATTTGACGTCTTTTTGTTGGTGGGATAAATGCAAAAGAAAAATAGGGTAACCAGCCGGAGGACTGGTTAAACATCCTTTGAAAGAAAAAAAAGAAAGAAAGAAATGGTGGGAAAACTAGCATCACTTCCCGCATCTAAGAACTCTCTATATTTTTTAATCACTTCACCCCAAGCAAGGCGATAATGCCACTAAGACGCAAGTGTTTACTGGGAGTGGAAGAGAATTAGAAGAGAAGACTTTAGCGAGCAGAAAGAACAATAAAAGGAAGTCCGAAGATATCGATTGGCATTGCATTTAAATTTCTGAAAATTGTAAGAGGCACGGAAAGGAGAAATCGGAAGATAGTACCACAGGTAAGAAGTTAGAGAACAGCAACTATTGGAATAGAACTTACAGTTACATTTAGCCACTTCAACAGTAAAAGGATGAGACCTAGTTGCCAATCTAGTAGAGTATGCTTGCATTTATGCGATCGGAGAACCAAGAACAATTTCCATGAAACTATTTCTAGAAAAGACGCGGGGTAGCCATGTCACAGCAGTGGGATTGTCACTGAAGTCGAAATGCCAGGTTAGGAGAGATAACTTTATAGACGTTTCTTTGGATTTTGTGGAGAATCTTGAGATACATAGCCGGAGTACCAGACAAAATATGGCAGCAATATTCAATACACGGACAAAATGTGCAAGATAGATTCTGACGATAAAAAATGTCGGGCATGACACAGTGAAACAACTTTCCTATCAGCAATTCTATCAATATAATCGCTCCATTTCATATCAGTGGAAAACGCTATATAAGAAGGCGGAATGAGTTGCTGTCCTGGAAGTTAGCATCAGCCATGGTAATGGAGGGAAAATGGTTCTCTATGATGATTAAAGAATAGCAGTTTCGTTTTGGAAACCACAAACATATAAACGCCATTTCTACACGCCATTTCTTGCCCCAGTTAACAACTGATTGGAGGTTATTTTCGAAAGCAGTTACCAGTTTTACTTGTCGGATCTATCGGACTTACTGTTAAGACAGGTGTAAATAGTTGTGCCATCAGCATAAATACCTAGAACTGATGACATCAGGAAGGTCGTTGATGAAGATAAGTAACAATGTTGGTCCAACCCCGTATTAATGTCAAATGGTCTATATCGACCTTCAACATTACCTTAATTTTTCAGATTAAGAACGATCGCATCAAATAACCAACCAGACACACCTTGAGCTTGTTGAGAAGGTCAGTATGACAAACACTGCCAAACGCCTTTGAGATAA